ACAAAGCAAAAGCAATGTTGTGCAAATTTGTATTCAAAGTGGTTTTTATTCCGTGTTAAATAGGGGAAAATTTTGAGTGTAGGCGGAGAAATGTGTGTGTTTGATCAATTTTTAAGAGAATTAGCAGGATGCATACGTGGAAATATGGATGTACGTGTTTAAAAGTTTGTTCGATAATTATCTACGAATTTTAGAGTGAGGATGACGCCATTGTATAAATTTTGAGCAGTGTGAACTTATTTAAAATATGAAAGGTCTGGCTGAAGTTGTGTTCAACTCTGCCTGTTAAAAAAAGTATCAAAATATTTATTTATATTTATATATATGATAAATTACAGAGCTTACAATTAATCAAAAATTTAACCATAAATTTTCTACAGTTAACCATAAGTTAATCTTGTTAGTCATGACCTTACTTTATTGTACTTTTTTGTAAAAATCATACCGCTGCTAAATAGTATTGCTGCAAACTCCCCCAAAAAGCGACTGAAATTATATATTTGGTGTTAACATTGTCACTCGATATTGAACACTTTTTTTAATAAGTTATTAAATTAATAAGTAAATAACCAAAATAAATGGTTAAGGGAAACGTCGATATAAAAACTTGTCAGGTTTTAGTAAATAAATGAAAAGGTAGGTACTTGATTCGGATGTGTTGATTGATCAATCGAAAATATTTTCAAAATTTATGCACTATTTCGAACTAGCGCACTATTATTGTGCAAAAACTACATATTTTCTCCTTCAAAATTTCCAAGTTTTCTAGTAAATCTAGAAATTTATTTACTAAAATTTTATCCAGAAATCAAATAAATATTTATCCGCCATCCTTGTGGTCATCTTCTCTCACCCTTTTTCCTTCCTGCAGATAAACCAAAACCACAAAATCTCATGCATTATTTGTTCCTCTTTATCCCCATTTGTTTGTCCAACTGCTGAACACACGCATTCTTATGCGTCCCCTACTTGCTTATTTCTCTGTCTTATTATTCGTCTCCCCTCCGATAAAACCCAGACATAAATAAGGTCGCCTGCCACCAGGAAATCTTTTGACATAGTCAGGATTTAAGGGGAACTCGAAGACGAAAATGAAATACTGGATGAATCCGTTGTAAAAGGGTCCGTCAAGTAAATTGGGTGAGGATAATGGGACAGATGAGTCCAGAAGGAGGGGGACGAATGTGAGATCATTCCCTCTTCAGCCGACAGAGATGACTCCTTCTGGGCATCGTCATTTCATTCATTGTGTAATGAAATCTTTGAGAAGGGAGGAGAAACTGCTTTTGGAAATTTTGGTGAATGTTTCCAACGGATTTTATGTAGTGTATCTTTTCAGTCTCTGGAGAGGAACGAGTATAGAAAATTAGAGAGATGGACACGATGACAATAGGTGACAACGAGGTGATGATGGTGATGACACCTTTATTTCTAGTGGGAGCAGAGGGAGATACTTAAATAGAAGGGAATGTAGTATATAATTAACTGAGGAGTGGATCATTCCGCGAATTTCGTGCCAATTTCAAGAAACAAGTTTTATGTTGGACCCTTTTAATTTTTTGAGAGTATAAAATTAAGAAATTATTTGGTCACTCTTTGCCAATTTTTGTTCCCGTGTTGCAAAATTATACACGAATTTTCCACTTTTATGTTATACCTCCTTAAATTTCTGAGAGTACAAAATTGACGAATTATTACTATTATCATTCGGTCCCTCTTTCCTAATTTTTGTTCCCTTGTTATAAAATTACCCAAGAATTTTCCTACCTTCATTCTCTCCCGTGATAAATAAATAATTCTCTCCTTTTTTATTCTCCCACTTCTTATTTAATCTCTCACACACGCACGCACGCACCCATCCCAATTTAATCCAGTCCCACTTCAAGTCCATCTTCTCCACTGCATAAAGAAGAAAGGAAGCATTTCTTCCTTCCTTCCTCCTTTCTTCCTCGTAATCCTTATCCTGCTCTTCTTCTTCTGGCGAAATAAATTGCGACAAAAGAGCGGAAAGGAATCCATCCCATCCATGGTGAGCAATTAAGATTACGAGAAAGAAAGAAAGAAAGCCGTACTGCGACGAGGACTCAACTCGTTCTTTTCTTCATCACTTCTCGTTCTCGATCTAATAATATAATTCGTCGGAATCAGTCCCGTTTTCCCGTAATTGATTGAGACTTTGAGTTTCGTTCTTGAGACAAAAATGAAATTCCTTCTGAATCATGTGCAACTCGTCTCGTCGGATAAAGAAAGAAAGAGCTAGCGATGAAGGAGAAAGTATTTCATTCATCAGACCAGTCGTACAACCACCACTACAATCGGCTTTGTTTGATTTGATTGGAGTGCTTTTGAGAAGAAGAGAGAAAGAGGAGTGAGACGGAATGAGGAGAAAGTCGGAGAAAGACAAGTGGATGAAGAAACGTTGGGTTTTTATCCGATTTCCTGATTGCGGAATTTGATAGGATGGCGGCATTAGCTAAAAATAATAATTTTGTGAGATATAAGGGATGACGGGAGATGGGCGTAATTAGCATGCGAATTTGAGAGTTCGTTTCATCCTGAGTTTTCAGTTATGATTTTTGAAAAGAAAAAAAAAACATACGGTTTCTGATTAGTGTAATTTAGTTGAGGAAATATTCAGTTTTCGTTTATAATTTTCTCAAAGAAAAACATACAGTTTTTTAGTCGAGGAAATATTCTCAGAAATTTGTTTAGTCGTAATCACACAGCAAATTTATAGGATTGAGATCGTAAGATAGTTCATATTGCTAGTTTGCATCATTATTTACGAAAATGCAACCAAGGTCAATCTATCCAAGCCCATAATTTAAACCTTAGCTGCTTATATAAACTGTAGCAACATTCCGATAAACCTATTTCCTCCCAAATACTGCCCGATTTCTAGGAAATCTAACCTTTTAAACAGCCCAGATTCCCCAAACGCTGCCAAATTTCCGAACCCAACTTTTCCCGTCATCTCTCTGCACCAAGTACGTTATACATACATAAATATCAAATTTTGACACCTTTTCCCACCCCACATTCCCCTTCATTTTCCAATTTTCTGTCATAAATTCAAATTTATTTTACAAATTAACTCATCTTATCTGCCCAATCGTGCAGAAATAATGGGTTTTCTTCCCCATGTCTCGCCTGACGTCTTAGCCTAGTCCACTATCTTATCGACCCATGAATAGACTACTGGATTATCACTATTTTCATCGTTCACTCACTTTCACTTTCACATCCACGTCCACTTTCTCCCAGAGCGGCCAGTCCAGAATTTTTCTGGGGTTTGGATGACTTAACTTCATCGGAAGGAATTAACAGCTCCGGCTGCCCTTTGTTCATCTCTTTTTCTCTTTTTTTTCCGCCTCGTCATCCATTCAATTACTTTCCCCATTCTGAGAGCTGGATAGGTGTCGATGGCTGGTCGGTCTGTAGCAGTGGCCGCGGAACAGAGGGACAATGTCCCCACGGTGATTCGATGCCCCCATCATCTGCCCATCTTATACAAACCCTTCCCTCCCCCATCCTACAATGGTAATGTCCCCACCGCTTCCGCGGCCACTGCTCTTCCTAGGTGTCGGAGAAAATAAAGGAGCAAGGTGAAAAATGACATGTGAAATCCATCCGTCCGTCCATTCACACACTTTTCTCCTCCACTCCACTGAACACAACAGGACCGGAAATTCCCTCGATCTTCACCTTGAGATTACTAGAACTACTTCTTCGAGTTGTACACGTACTGAGGAAAAAGGAATTAAGGAGAGGAGAGTGATGTGCCGAAATTGTTTGAATTGTCGGAGAGGAGAGAAAGTAGAGATGGTTATTTCGTGGAGAGACTCATTGTGCTTATCGTGTGTATATGTAGTTATATAATCGCATTGTTTTCTTGCTCTATTTCCATTGTTTTCACAGGCTGGAATGGGAAAGAGGAGAGAAGTTTGGGATGAATAGGATCCGCCAGAAACATTAGAATTACTTGCTTCCTTCCTTCCTACTGGATTCTTCTCTCTTCATCCATTATTCACTCCACTTTATTTTACTTTACTTTACTTTCTCCGACTACGCATCGTGTGTGGTTTGTGAGAGGAGGAGAAAGTATGTACATGATTTGGGCAGGGTATCTTCTGGTCGTGGGAGAAAGATTAAATGTAGGAGATTGATTTTTACTATAGGATATTTGGGAAAAAATTTGTAATTGTGGGGGAAATTTCTGAAGTTTTTTTTTGTAGAAATTTTTCAAGTGATTGGTTGATTTGGATGATTTTGTTATTACATGATTTCTGAAGGGATTAGAAAATTACGTAAAATTTGGTGTTTAATTTTTAATTGGTTATTTTGGACGTCGGAACCAAATATTTTAAAACGTTTAGATAATTAATGAATTTTTAAGATTGATTGACACGTTCTCTTAAAATTAAAAGTCTTTCCAGTTCTTGTAAAACTAGGATAAAACGACTGTATCGGAACTATTTGTCGCTCTACACAACCAATTTGACACTTTTACCCAAGTTGTTCTCCAAGCAAGATTTATTGCCTGGTCGTTTTGTATTGCATGGACAGGACATCTGGCCTTCTGTGCGACTAAAGAGCAAGCCAGCCACAAATACCAATTCGCCACCCACAACTAACAAATTTTGTACATTACTCGAGCTGGGTCATTGTTCCTAAATATATTCTCTGGATTGGCTGTATTGTATACATTTTTGTATAGATTTGTTCATCTTTACTTTATTCTTCAGACTACAAATTTAGCTTATATAATTGGTGATTCTGCAGAACAACAATTAATTTTTGCCGAGATCACCAACCTAGCAAATTTGTCATTTATATGTATCATTCCTTGTCTAAACGGCTTAATCTCCGTCATACCCAATTATGTATTTACTACATGCTGTTTTAAGTAAGTAATCATATGCAGCATGCTAACCCTACACTCGTTAAACAACGCTGCAGGTATTTGGCATGAAATTAATAGATCCAGTGGAATACACCTGAAGCTTGTTAACGATATTTATTGTCATCTCCGAAATTATAAGACCGGCGCATAATTGTCCCAATTTTAAAATTAATTGAACAATTAAGCAGAAATTTCACATGTTCATATAAATTATCCAACTTTAACAATGACAATTGTCGTCCTTAATGTAATGAGATCAACTTTACTTATATCCCGAATGCAATCCTTAATTAATCTTCAAATTAACCCCAACTACAAACATAGCATGAATTTTACAAATTAATAACACCTTATCTTTCAAAGATACTCATACTTTTAGTAACCTACATAACTTACTCTCATTTCATCCCGTGGGTGACATGGATGAGAAACGTGTCATAAAATACATCCTCCCATCAGCCTAACGATACTAAACTTCTTTCACTTTCCTTACTTAAAAAACCCAATTCTTTCTCTCACAATAAAAAAAATCATGACACATCGTGTTCTTCTTCCCCACTCGGTAAGAAAAAAAATATGAAATAATAACTCTCCAAATTGGACGATTTTTTGGCAACCAACGTCAAAAAAGTAGTCTAATTATTAGGTTCACTTTCTCCTCCGTGTGTCGCATTCCCGTAATGGAGCCAATCATCGCGTACTGATTTCGGGAGCACGTATGTGCTTATGTACATACGTATTTATTCCAAACATTGTCAGGCCTCGTTGGAATTGTCAAGAGCCACGCCATGCCAAAATTATTGTCACCGTGCCAAACTCTGAGCCTCATTACGTAGCATCACGGATCACATACACGAATTTCATTTTACATCACGCCTTGTTATGTTAGCAAATAAACGAGCGTAAAAAAGTAGCTTCAGACTCACTTTTCACCCCAACCACTCGCACAATATCACGAGAACATTGAATTTCACTGTATTTCATAAAATTTTAGTAAAAATCACATTTTCCCCAACCACACCCCCTTCCCTTGAGGGGGAGTGGTCCTATTGACCCCAAAATTTGACACGATCCTCCCCCAAGGGTCATATGTATCATGCCCTAAACCGATTTTGATTATCTCAATCCGTTCTCTCGTTATCTTGCTGACAGACAGACAGGCGGACGGACAGACAAAGTCTTCACATAAAGTAGCTCAAGCTACTTAATAAAACAAGAGAAAACAAGGCTAGAATATCGTGTCGGGATTCGAAATTGGTCGTTCCTCACAATAATCATCAACAACTTATACTACATACGATATAGATACTTCATCATCCAAATAAGTATTTAGAGAAAGTCGGAAGCATCACGGGGAGGAGGAGGTGAAAATGTTCATAAAATGTGTAAAGTTCTCACCACCACTGCCAAGATAATAATCATTAATGTTTGAAAGGAAAAGGGTGAGTAATTCCGGTCTGGCATTAATTAGTGTTTGGTTCTTCGTCGTGGTGGTGGTTTGGTTTGGTTTTGGGCTCGTAATGAATGAATGGTTGGCTTGGTCGAGATGCAATTAGCGAGGTGCTGGTGATGTGGGTGGGGTGATTATTAACGAATCTAATAATCATGCACAACGCCTCATCGTGATGATATTTTGATTTACGTTGGGAAACTGAATAGACAAACAAGTAAAATTTAGTTGAATGGATGAAAAAACGAGAATTTTTTAAAAATAAATTCGTATTTTTTTTGAATGACAGCGCCCTTTACAGAAAATTTTAATATTTGTTAATTAGTTTTACATTTTAGCAGGTTCATTGCAAGCGGAGGATAAAAAAATTCATCCATGCTCTAACATTTGCCAGCCTTCCAGGTCATCCATTCCCTCTCACACTTGACATTTATTTCCTCTCCTTCGAAAAAAAATAGTACAAGAAATGTCACCAATTCATAAATAATTCAGGAAAGGTTGGCCGGTTTCAGTCCAGCATGATGACAACTTACGACATGACACTAACCAGACCACATACCCAGCAGGGAGCAGCTTTAAATGGGTCAATCGTTGATCATCTCGCACTTATGTATCCCTCCTTTTGCTTTCTTGTTTCAATAAAACCCTTGCAAAAATGAGAACAATACAAAGGACACGGCGTAAAAAAGGGTGGATGAATCCCTCTTAAAAATTTATTTGCACGGAAATGAGCCAAGTTTCGCACTTTCGCTTTCACGAAGATGAGCATCATTTTCTGCAGGGAGAGAGAATAATGGTATTTATGACAGTGTATATACTGTACAGTTTCTTCTTTCGGGTGGATGAGAAAACCCAGCAATGGTATTGATTTTGTGATCAAGTGAAAGAGTCAAGTCGTATTTTGAAGTAGTTTCATCCACTTGACTTGCCATCCAGTTTCTGGTTTCTGGTTCAGCTATTTTCTGGGCAGAACCCATATTATTTCGTTTCGGATCTGATTTAGATTTCACTTAGGAACGATATTTTTTATGTAGTTGGGCGAATATTGGATGTGGGTAAATTTCAGAGATTTTTTCGTAATTTGGGTGCAATCAAGTTAGGAGTACTTGGTTGGGTGGGTGGGGCCATTTATGAGAGATTTGCCAGTTTATTTGTAAATGGAAATTTCAATGTTTCCTGAAATAGAGGAACAACCGCTGTTTAATTTTACACATTAGAATTTGTAAATTTAATTAGTAAGTATAAACCTTCCTGGTTTGAGAGATAAGCGGATCTGAAGAAACCCAGCTCACTCGTGGGAATAAGCGAGTAGCACATTCCTGTCATCTTATTATTGAGCTAATTTCACTTGCTTAGTCGGTCGGTTGCAACTTGTCAAGTTTGGCTTAGTTATTTCCAGAAATACTTAAAGCTTTGGTTGCAAAGTGCGTTTGAAAAGTCGCCGTTTGAAGTATTTCTTGCAACTTTAAGAAGAATAGGAAATGCTTAGGAAGCCATTATAGACCAGAATTTGAGCCACTGCTGAAAAGGAGAAAGTTTAAAGATGAAAATTACAATATTTTTGTAATAAAGTTGTATTTATCTTATCTCATAGCATTCCACAGTTGATTACTGTGAAGATAATTCAATGTACGTACGTACATTCCTGACGTCAATGTGTGATAATATGTGCAAAGACATGACGCAACTACAATATGTGTTCTCATGTGCATATTGATAAGCCATTTTAAGCCATAAGTATTGACTCAATAAAACGTTTCCTTAAAAATAAATCGTTTCCTTCCAAACAAAACGTTTCCTAACGTTTCTTCCTTAACAAAATGTTTACCAACTTTTCCTGAAACGTTTTTGTTAGTGAAAGTATTATTACAGCTATCCTTTATCTAATTTGCCCCATCTAGACATACCAATTGAACCGAGTACTCTTTTAGAAGTTTCACCTCATAATGATCAAGTTCAACTTCACACATTTACAAGAATCTAAGAAAGAGGTCGACTTCCTGATGGTTTCCAAAAAATAAAGATTATTGCTCCTATTTCCTACTATATGTACACATTCCTGGTGAGGAATATGTCAAGAATTATTTTCTTCGCCGGTCTGACAATTGCGCAGCTAAATGCAAAGTGATTGCAACAAAATAAATATGTGACGTTGGTCAAAATAATAATTTTATTGGGATAAAAAAATAAAAATATTAGTCAAAATATGATTTAATTTCTACCTCACAGAGGAAGGGCCCCACCCAATAATGCAATATGGATAGCCTTCAAGTTGGTCAAGGTCCGTCTTTATTCTTCCTTCTGAATTGGGTGGTTGTTGAAAATCAACTAACCGGTGATCAATGTTATCCCTGTCGATGAGTAGTAGTTCAACATGTCCACATTTTTTTTTGTTCCACAATCTCATAAGGATAAACCATCGATACCGATAACCTGGTGGTACACATTTTCGAAGCGTATCCATCAACAACGTGGCATTTTCTACATAGACAAGTTCGCAGTTTGCGAATCCGGCCACCTGGCAGAGTCGTAATACTTGATTCTCATTAAGGTCCCTGCATACTTTTTGGATTGAATATTTCAATGTATCCGTATAGGAGAAAGCATACGTCGATTTCAAGACATCAGCCACAATGCTGAATGACGCCCCTGCTACGGTGCACCAGGCACAATCCACTTCATTCTCAGCCCCGTGCACCATGTAACCAATTATTCTGTTTATAAATTGTGTGGGAGGATCGTCACCTTTGTTAAACCATGGTTGTTCTCTGGGACAGCCTTCACCGTCGTACATTGGATTGTCACCGCCCTCCATGTTAATATCGCTAATGATTTAAATGCTGTTTATACTGACGCTTTTTTTCTACGCATTGTTTTTAATATAAGCATTATGGCCATTGCAAGTAAGCTAGAGTGGCAGAGAGTATCATCCAAAATGGCCAGCTCTGCTGGTCGGCTTTTGGTCATCCATCGCTCTCCTCATAGTGGAGCGTCGCCCATGTTGTCCGGTGCCGGGGGACCATGTCTACTTTGGACATTTTGCAGTACGGAAAATTGCAAAAAGAAAGGACGGTAGGAATGGATCCTGGATTCCCCAAAATCACCCTGACGCAAACCACTGGACCATAAATCCATGATATACTCTATGCGTCGAATAAGGTTGCATTTATTTTATTGCAAAATATTCCACAGTTGATTACTGTAATGATAACTCAACGTATAATGTGTTATCATGCGCTGACGTAATTTCAATATGTGATACCATGTGCAAAAACATGACGTAATTGCGATATGTGTTATCATGTGCATATTGATAAGCTATTTATAAATATGACTCAACAACACCAATGTCTCCTGAAACGTTCTTAGTAAAAGTATTATCAGTCTTTATTTAATTTTGCCCATCTAACTAGACAATATACAATCACATATCCCAACTGAACCGAGCCCTCCTTCAAAACTTTCACCTCATCATGATCAAGATCATCTTCACACATTTACAATAATCCAAAGAAAGAGGTCGTCTTCTTTCTCTCGTTCCTTTGCATTCCAATTTCACATCACATTCTTGTCATTCCTCACCAGGATGAGCACTGTAGGACAAATAAATTGCCTACGATTTGATTTGAATGCCCTCCGCCGACCCAACTCCACGGTCCCGACAATAAAAGAAGTTTTCTTCTCCTACAATACAAAAACTTGGCGAAATATTTCCACGAAAGGGACTTTCACACACACAATAAGACAAAAGGATGACTGCTTTCCCTCGACAAAGACAACTTTCACTTCTTCCTCCACACTTTGACTCACCGACCAACCAGCTGCCGGATCCACACGAGAGAAGAAAAAAAATCAAAAGAATTTAAATAGAGAATGTCACCTTATACGTGTGTCCATTCATCGGCCTGGATTCAGTTCAACCTTTTTTTTTACTTGGGACTCGTAAGGATTGGACCGGAATAGGGATGGATTTGTGTAAAATAAAATAAAACAAGGAAACTTTAGAATGGAGGGAGAATAAAAATAAAAAGTTTCTGAAAGTATGGGATGACATACGGAAAGAGTGGAAGAAATAAGTGATGAAATGAAATTGAATTCATCTGGGAGAGAATCTCGGTTAAAAGGTTATGTTGTATCAGGAAACAAAATATTTAGTTACGGAGTGAATGTAGGACAATGTAAGTTTGCTGAATTATGAGCTCAAAATATAGTGACGATGTTGTAACAATTTGTAGAATTAGGTATACGATAATTATTTACGTGCAGAATCTAGGTCTATTTCTTACGCACTATGGGACAGATTTTCTGCTTTTACATGCATGAAAAAGCCTGTATACAAAATTATTTGACATCTAATCTGTATATCCTGCCGAATCATTATCAATCTGCTGACTTATTTAACTGAAGAAGTATTGCTATCCAACGATTGGTCGTTTATTGCACAAATTTTTAACCATCCAGAACACAGTTATAATAATTTGTATACCTATGTATTACTGCTAGTGCAAAAATAAACCAGATCAAAATTATACAAAATTACAGTATGAAAACACGCAGAAAAATATTCCTACAAACTTATGCTGAACCTATTTTGAAATAGAAACAACCAAAAATACTTACACATGTACAAAATTAAGGGGCTTACAATTTTACCGGAAATCTATTTAAAAGCCAAATGGATAACAAAACTAGACCAGGTGAACACGTGTGTAAGCTCGTTGTGCGTATTTCTAAAAGAGATTCGCCTTACCTTTCCGGTTTGTAGGGCGGAATAAAATCCCTGTCCTTCTTTTAATGCAAATTCCCATCAGCTTTAAATAACCTCTTTCGTCATGCATAATTTAATGAGGAAGGAATTACGCCAAAATAGAGGGAAAATAGACATATGAACATACAGAAATCGTACCTATTTTGCTACATGTCGAATTTAAGTACCATCTGCGACGCTATTTTAAGTACGTCTGTTTCGATAATACGGCTTATTAATTAAATATTCAAACAAGTTGTATCCCCTTAAATACAAAAATATAGACTGGATTAGTGTCATATTTTCCTAAATGATTAAACACGATAAGTACGTAAACAAAAAACCCGGCCAGACTAAGCCTAAAACGACGAATTTAGCAAAATTCTAAAAAACAGGTTTATCCAAATAGTTGAAAGTCTCCCAAATCCAGGAAGCTTAATCCTTCTTTATCCCTTTGACTTCCATTATCCCAGTTGTAAGCTGATGGGGGCTGTGTTTCTTCATACTTTTACATATTTCATAATATTCTTGGGTAAATATTTAAACTTATGTAGTTGCATTTCACCTTCACTTTTAAACCAATGCGTAGGAAGAAGATGGAAGAAGAGAGTTAAGTAAGGTATAACTTTGTAGATGTTGCAAAATTTTTGCATAGGAAATATATAATTGCACAAATTGAAAACTGGACAAATTACCAAAAAATAGCAAAAATTTGAAAACAAAATCTATTTAAAATTTAAAACATTATCGCCGCAAGATAGTTTAATCTTAAAAATTGTGTGAGTATATAATTGTTTAGTCTTAATTTATTTATGACGTCAAAATCTTCCTAATTCATTTTTGGCCTGAAAATGTTTCTAATATATTTTTGGCGTCAAAATTTTCCAAGTTTATTTTCATGACTGACAAGTATTAATTATAAGTGGGTTATAATAAATTACTTTACGTGTTACTACGTATAATAATACATACCATAACTTAAAGATAACTTACGTGTATTTAATATAGCCTCCCACAAAAGATACGTTATCTTTGTTGTACAAGAGCAAATATAATTTGTTACCGAATTACATAACGTTCATGAATATTATTTACTTGGCTGCGCAGTGCGTCGTAAGTACTTCCACCTTTCTGCAAATTCCTCCTTCCAGGTGAAAGTTGGTAGAAATATGTCTGTGTGAGGAGGTAGTCTGAGAAAGATTTATGATTTATAATCTCTCTGGGCCAATTTGAACCACCAGCCAACCACTCACCTCTCACGCCACAAGAAGAACAAACATCTTATTAAATTCAGACATTCTGATGCGATTATCTTAATTCATGGTGGCGACTTATCTTGCTATCTCACCGGATTTATGTAATATTTGATTATCACGGGGGACGGATATGTATTTAATTTCAACTTTTTTATTTGATGACGATTGACGGTCAAACTTTGTGGGTGTGTTTGCTAACTCGTATAGATCACAAAAGTTTAAAAATATTTTTGGATATTGTTATATATTTCAAAGTTTTCATGAAAAATAGATATTTCCACAAATTTTTGAAAAATACGAATTTTTTTATAGCTATTTTTTCAAAAATGCATATACAGACAATTGTGTACATATTTCAACAATGTGATATAAAATTTTTTTACACAAAGAAATTGAGGTACAAAAAATCCAGAAAACTAAATACAATTTTTTGCCAAAATTCAAACTCATGTTTTTTTCGTACATACTTCGTAAATATTTTTGGCTTTCTTTTGTATATAAGTATTACATAGATGTTTCAGGAATTTTTCGCAAATATGTACATACATATCCACCCTCTGATTATCCCATTACGTAACAAGGAGGCCCACCCCGTCTCGCGGGTGTTTGTTTGACGGACAGATTTCCATTTTAATATCGACAAACAGACTACCACGATCAAATAAATCTCTGAAATTAATAAGAACCAAACAAGCTTGACTTCTTCTCTGGAGGCGATTTTAATTTAATTTTAGATTTCACAGATCAAGTGTTTGCATTCAAATTCAGTTTGGTTAGTGAGTTTCTTCTTCTTCTTGGAGAACGTATTGGTTTTTGTGAAGTGAAAGCTTCTTCTTCCCAACGTCCCGGAGGGCGAGTCATAATTCATTTCTAAACTAATCTCACTCCTTCCGCGTGAATTCCTTCGATTCACTTTTCCTTCAGGGTATCAGCAGCCAAATTTAGTCTTCTGCATAGGTTTCATGTGTCTCTGCAAGTCGGCCAAAACGTGTTCAAAGCCTTTGAAACAGATATGATACGTATGTGCGATAGAGGAGAAAGTTGAGGATGACGTATAATCGGAGACAACCACTATGCCAGGAGCAGGCTGGAGACGTCTGAATTGGACGATGTGGTTATGCCGTAATTGGGATTTGCGTGTTTTTTTGCAGTTTTTCATGTTTTGTAATAGTTAAGAGGCGATTTAATTATTTTAAATGGTTGAGTTAAAAGCAATGTCGGGAGGTGAGTTGCGTTATATGGAATAAGGATAGTTATTTGTAACCATATTTATGTACCTAATTGTTTAAAAGCTATATATATATTTTAGATACATTATTACCAGGGATGGACAACCCTAGGATTACTTTAATCAGATTAAGTAATCTGATTTCATTGAGTGTAATCCATAATCCAATAATCCCAGAAGAAATTTTAAATTTTAAATAATCCGTAATCCAAAATACTCAGTAATCTATAATTCACGATTTCTTGATGTTGGATAATTTAATCAGATTATGGATTACATTATTGGACTAGTTTACGTTAGGGTTAAGTACTAAAATTATAGTTTACTTAATTATTTAGTTAACTGAAAATACAAATATTCTAAATTTTTAATGTTAACTCGTTTTAAAGACGAACTTTCACCACCTCCCCCAAAATACCGCCTGCACCCAGAACGTAGCTGTCAGAATCACACACTGGAGAAAGCAGATTCATGAGATTCCACTCCATTAAACCGACCTCAAAAGTCTTTAGCAGACAAGAGCAGATCAAATGCATACAAGAGTTGGGACAAACAAGTCGGAAAACTTATTGAAAGTTGTAGTTGTAAGCAGAACAAAACTTCACTCCGATTCTGGCTCGTCCTAATTTACGGATTGCACAACAAAGTCGGTGTATTAACGCTAATTCCTCACGAAATACCTCAAACTGCAAAAAAAATCGGCATACAGAGAAAGAGAAAAAAGTTCGCAAAAACTTTGCGAATAAATCGTTGCAGAATTAATTCGATGAACATGATACACAAATCTAAGAATTTTAACTTTTGAAGTTGTGGGAAATTTCGAAAAATTTGTAAACTGTACTTTCGGTAGAAAAAAAAATCAATTTTAACCGATTTAAGCAATACTATATTATTAAGCTGCCTTCCACCAAATGCGGGTACACTTTTTAACGACAAGTTATTCAAAATCCTGTATTAATATACCTGAAAATGCTCGAGTCCTTTATTGGAAAATCTTCAAAAAGAAATTGCACATTTCAAAAGACCAAGTCAACCAAAAAGCTAAGCCATACCAGAAATTTCTCAATTCTTTATCCTCTTGCTGCTTGCGATTTTCTATATAACAAAAAATCCCTTTCATAACTAGGTTAACCAGATTTATTGAGGTTGCCCTCCAAACTACGGCTTCAAACTTTCTCCTTTTCAATACCCCAGCAACACGGCAGGAATTAATCCCTCTTTTCATTCCCACCCAATTACGATCACTTTCCCACTTTGTGGTCCTCAAGAATGAAAAAGTAAGCCTACTTATGCATCAAATATAAATTATAGAGATCAAATAACACGGTTGATGTGGTGGTGAAAGTTATAGTTAAATCGCGTCAGACCTCTTAAACCGTAATATCCAGCTAAAACCTTAGTGCTCGAGTTTCTAAAAATATAAATTATCCAACAAACACCTTATTCCCATCAGATGTATGTACTAATAGCTGTACGAAATTGAAAAGGAAGTCATGGTGAAAGTCAGCTTTTTCCTTCATAGAACAACTTTTCAACTTTTTCATGCTCAGATTTTAAATTGGATTTATGTACGTTGTTCATAATATTATTGGGGACAGTGGCCGCGGAACAGAGGGACAATGTCCCCCCGATTATTTGATGTTCTCATCATCTGCCCATGTTATATAAACCCCTCCATCCCCCATCCTGCAATGTTAATGTCCCCACAGCTTCCGCGGCCACCGATTGGTGATGAAGTAAAATTGCGATGTTATTCTGAGGAGAAAATCTTGGTACCTGTTCCTGGGTCAGAAGCCAAAGAGTAAAAAAATATAGGGTTGAGATGTATATAATAAGAAGCAAAAATTATACACTTCACATCCGAGATGACATTTATGTTACATCGGAGACTGACATAATCTCACTCTGGGGAGAAAGGGGACATTTCCCATGATTTTACAAATTCAAAATTCCCATGATTATTTTTTTATTATATTATTTTTTAAGTGATTATCAAATCCTCCAGAATTTCACGTCAAATGAACCAACCTACTATGTTACATCGTATATGTAAAAATGTTTCCAAAACGTTAAGCAACCTTTAAGTTACGCAATTTATTTTATACAACTTTCAACCTTCACCTTTTTTCTACAACTTTTCATTCAAAACGCGATACGATCTTATCCAGTTTTCATAAAATTTGAAAATTTAATATAACCTAGACCTGCTCCCATAATTTTGACAGGTTTTGTTAATCATAAAAGAACAAAGAAAATACCTGCTGTTTTCCATTATTCCGTTCCATACACACATGGATGGATAAATATACGAAAAACTTATTTTCTAGTGGGTAGCATTATACCATGATGATGCCTAAATTGGATTCTTCAGCCAATTTCCTTTCACCAACTTTCTCCCAAGAATTACATCACATCATGCACGATACGATGTTATTTACCTTATCCAACGATATTCGATAACAGACCAGAAACTTTTTTCCCGTACAATTTTCGTTCTCCGTGAACTTTAAGAAGGTTCATAATATTTATGAAATAAAAATAAGAAATTTTAAAACCACTAAAAATTTGTGAGCTAAAAAATAATCTTTCATTTTATTAGATACAAGTTTCCAGAATTTTGAAATAATGCCCCTCACTTATCTTTTAATATCAGTTTTACTACATACTTAACGTCCCTCTTGAACCTTTAATTTCGAACAAAACGCAATATGTAATAACAGAAAAGACGGTTAATTCCCACTTCATGAATAAATGCATTTCTTTCCTCGAATAATTTATTGCTCACAAAATTTAAAAAACTTTCTCTCGGTTAAATAAATTTTAAAAGATTTAACTTTTTATGTCTCTCCATATGTGTCCATTTATTTTTGCATATCCAAATTGCTCCCCGTGATCCCAAGAGTTTGTCTGTTTTTCTTTTCGAAAGTATGTATCAGTGGCCGCGGAAGGGTGTGGACAGAGGGACAATGTCCCCACGATTGTTCGATGTCCCCATGATGTACAAACCTCTCCCTCCCCTATCCTACAATGTTAATGTTCCCCAGATGTCCCCACGGCTTCCGCGGCCACTTGAGATGAAAGTAGAGAAAGTAAACCAGGTAATGGCCCACTCCCACATCACGCATTAAAAATAAATAGTTGCTCCTTGGCAAACCCATTCTGGTCAAAATGGGACTTTCTTTTCTTTTATCTAGTCATGCCATGTGGAAAACTTGAAACGATTGTTGTCCTTCTTTTTTTATTCCGCGTTATTCTTTTATTCCCTAAAGTATGAGTGGAATTCGTTTATCTTATTTGCATACTTGGGAGCACAAAGGCGACCGTAACTTCTTTATTTCTTAATATTTCAGATCTCTGCCCCATATTTGATATTGTTGGAAATTTAATTTACAAAGCGACAGAAATCAGGTTTAAATAATTTAGTCAAATAAGCAACACTCTTCAATCATTGTCACGAAATCTCGAAAATATTGCAAATATCGCGAAAAATGGTGCAAAATGAAGTTTTACAAAAATTTCATTTTTACTTTGAACATCTTTCCTGCAATCAAATCATGAAATGACGTAACACGGCAAAATTAAACTTTAGTTGAAACTTTCTCATAAGTTTTTGCAAAAAAATTGTGCAAAAACCGTATTTGTCTGGCCTCTCAATAAAAAGAAAGAAAGATTATAACGATTTCCACCAAAAGTGAAAGTTTCACGGGAAGAAATAAGTATCTAGAAATGCATAATATAAAACTTGCCCACCTCAAAAATCTCACTTTCTTTCTCTCCTCACGAAACTTGTCCGACCAGATGGAACAATTTAATTAGAGATCAAATGCACCATTTCATTACTTACTTTCACCTGTCTTGCAGTTCTGCATGCAACGTGAAAAAATTCATTCCATACTCCTCCTCAACTTGTCTATTATTAAGCGAGACAGGCAGTCGAAAATACGTAAGAGTGAGGTTATCAATGCAGAAAATGTGCACTTTTTTCTTACCCCCGGAGGACTGACTATCTCTCCCTGCGCAAATATCTGCATGCGATAGTAGAATTTTTTACTATATACTTTCTTTTTTTGACTTATGTAATCTTATGCAAATACATAAGGCAACTTCGTTAGCTGGATAGAATTTTTTACCCGGACAAAGACCGACGGACGACAGGCATGTTACGCAATTATGTAAATTGTTTATATCTGATAAAAACCCATTACAACATTCCAACTCAAAATGCCATCAAATGACATTTAATTTTCTGACTGCATTCTATGCTATTGTGACATTTGTGTTGTGGTAAATGTTAAACTGAACAAATATGTACATAAGTGCAAGAATGAAACGGTATTTCACTCTCAAATAAAATTTTGTCTAAAATTTCTACCAAAATTGTGGATGAATTTAATTGCAAAAAGTATTTATTGTTCATGCAAAGTGTAGAAAATTTAAGTAAAATATAAGAAAATCTTCAAATTTTACGGCATTTTTTGCTATTTTGGTTGCATATCCACTCTGTCATCTGTGTGGTCATACTTCATGTTTTGTAATTTTTCAATTGCAGGTCAAAATTGAAAACCGGACTTACAACCACGAATTCACTCAACTATTCTCTTATCAAAGGAAAACTATTGATTTTCCTCAACCGGATGCAGACTTGGATTGCTTGACAAATTTTGTGTTGTTGATTGTTCAATACCTTTCAGCTCTACAGCTCGAGTGACTCTAGCGTGTGAGACTGGGTGAAGAACAATAGAACAACTTTAGAACAACTACAGTCGTAGTGAAAAACAATTGATGTCGAAGTGAAGTGTGAATTTGAACAGTACAATTTATTCAAGGAAGTTAAAAATACGACAAAAATAAAGGTAAATAACTTACTTATCAGCTATTATTTATAAGAGCATAGTCTATAAAGAAAGTACTAATATAGTTTCAGTACGAGATAAAAATAATTCGTGAGTAATCAGTGATTATTTAAATTAATAAAAATTACATAACTTTCAGAATTTCATAAAATTGTACGATTTCAGTTTTTTTAACCTTGAGGAATATCTTCAATTTGAAAAATATGCAAACAAATGTTGAGATGCTATTTTTTATAAGAATAATAACGCCGCCTCCAGCTACCTGTCACAAACTTTTATGGTTTTGAAAACTTGTAAAATTTCTTATTTACGTCGTCCAAATCTTACAATTTAAAACGGACCTCTAACATAATTGCTTGCAAATTGATGCTACATAATACAAGACCATTAAAACTAAGAATTACTCAACAAGATTCACTTCATTGTCTAACTACACCCACACACAAATAGTTAGTGTTTGGCCGCCTTTACCTATTTCGTAACATGTATTCTTCAATGTCCGTCCACCTTCTTACACAACTTCTCGCCTTTTCTGAGAAAACGAAGAGAAAGAAACGGAGACAAAATGGAATTTCTGTAATCAAATGTTCTCCGAAACCTTGTAACCCAACCTCTCACCCAACCCTCTTCTTCTTACTTGCCGCCCTATGAATCTAATCGAGTTCACGACAAAGTTTCTTATTATTGGAGAAAGTTGGTGGGTGCAGGATTCGTAGGTACAACCTCACATTCCAATTAGTGCCTTCTTCCCAGCACTTGTACCACTTCATTTCACAATTCTTCTTCTTCTTCTTCTTCCCACTCTTCTTTTATGACTTTTGTTTGGAACAGGAGCAGTGGCAGTGGTTGAACTCACGTGGAAATTAGTGAGCAACTTTCTCTACAGGTTTCTCTAAATGAGCAATTACTTGTCGGGCGGGGTCAAATTTCAAATTACGGAGAGACTACTGTGTTTTACTCTCGAGTTTTGGGTGACATGCCAGATTTGGGGGGAAGTGTTGGCTTCTTTTGGCTACGTGAACTAGTAATTCGACCTGGTGCAAGTTTTAGATTGTATTGACGAGGTATTTATTAAGGGGTGAAAGCCCTTTATAAGATCGTTATGCGCGTCTGTCCGTTGGTTCGATAACTTTTGAAAGAAAAACATAGAGAATTGAAACTTTAAACGTAAATTCCTAACGTCTAGGGACAGGATGAGTTTGAAGATGGGCACTGTAGGTCACACCATTTAAGGTCAAAAATGGTCACTAAATGTTAAATTTGATACATGTGTCAATTTGAACGGAAATTTAACCCCAATTTTAATGGTTACCATCATTTTGACCTCAAAAGTCACAAAAAGGTCACATAAAGGTCATCACCTGTTAAATTTGACACAAATGTCGAAAAAACGTCAGACACGTCAATTTTAACAAATTTTCGAAAACGATATGATATTCACTTTGGCGTATGACACACTGCTTTCACCCCTTGGTTACGTGCGTTTTATTAATTGAAAAATTTGGGGGATGAATTATGCTAATTTTAATCAGTTTCTGCAGAACTGAAAACACATTCCTGCTAAAATTTGCACCATGAGGAACAGGGAAGGACACGGATTGTTCTCTGAAGCCTAAAGCTGAGGACGAGTTAATGGATAATTCTTGTACTTTTGATATCTGTTGAGATGCGATTGCATTACACGGTTTGAGCCTCATCGTAAAGAAAGGGGATTTAATACACAGATTATTTATAGTGTTGGCTTTGGCTTAATGTGCGAAATTCGTGCAAGTCAGGTCACACGAGTTCTGCTGACTTGACTTACTCTACTTTCTTCTCGGGCTAATGTGACCTTTATGATTATTTATGACATGTTTTATTCGTTTCTAGACGAAAACCTCGGAGATTTCCGTGAGTATGTTTTTTTAAGAAATTTGTGAAAATATAATTTACAGTAAATACTTGTTATGCTCGTAATTTGTATTTCCATTGTCACAATTTTGTCGAGTGATGAAATTGCAAAAACTTATTTTATTTTGTTATTTTCCGGATAAGTTTATTAATTTAATGTGAACATTCAAGTCATTTTCCGATAAGTTTAATGTGAAAAAAAAAGTTTAATGTGAAAAAAAAAGTTTAATGTGAAAAAAAAAGTTTTTCATGGATCGACAAAGATAAGTCGTCACTTAAAACATACATAAAAAATTTTGCCAAAAATGAAATTATTACTGTCGCCATCATATAATTTATTTCGAAAATTCTTAAAAACTTAGCTTATCCATAAATATGGAAGTTATAGTATCTCAATTCATGCTTGTAGCTCTTAAATAAAACGTATAAAACAATGTTATTCACAACCCAAAGTAGTAATTTCACTGGAAATAAATTGCTACCGCTATTTCATTCTCATTCTCCTGCGCTCCTCTGTGGTTTATGACGTTATAAAATTTTCAATTCCATACCTACTTCATATTTCCATCTTATAATTCTCAAATCCACTTCTGATGATGCAATCCCCCTGTAAAAGCTTACTTTTAAGACACCCCATGTAATCCATCCAAGTAACTAACTGAACAAAATGTTGTTACACAACCCACCCGATTGGATTTTCCCTTTTGAAAGAAGAACGTAAAACTAAAATCTAAATATCTAATTCTTCTTCCCACGACTGACTAAACGAAGCATCATAAAATATGGTAATTGTCGTCGACAAAGTGTGTGCTGCTGCAGAATGCAGTTTCATCAGATTAATTTACTACGTACCTTCCAACGAAATGTGAAGATACCTCTTCATCCGCAGTGAGGCATGCTTTTAATAAAATGATTAGATTACAAGCTCACATCGAAGGAATGGAATCCATACTTTGGATGGTACGAAAGTGCAGGAGGATGGAATAAATAAATGGAAATGCATCTGAAATTTCCTTTATTTATGACGAAGCGCACTTTGGAGATATCGGTGTGCATAATTTTAGTGCCATTTATTTATGCATGCAACGAATGCAGTCAGGTCGGGTATTCAATCTCACTTTCCTTTTTCCCTCTCCGACTGTCTGACTTTCACTAATGATTCGTATTTTCGTTCACTTTCACTTTCACCGAAGCCAACTTGGTAGGAAAGCAGGAGAGAGAAAGTTGTAGTTGGTGGATGCATCGCAAAATGAAAATTTGGTGGGTGGGTGGATCGGTTCGATGATCAGTGGCCGTGGAAGGGTGAGGACAGAGGGGCAATGTCCCCACGGTTGTTCGATGTCCGCATCATCTGCCCATCTTATATAAACCCATGCCTCCCCTATCCTACAATGGCAATGTCCCCACAGCTTCCGCGGTCACTGTTGTAAATGGTTGAAGGTGGCTGGGTGGATAGTGTAGATCTGGCTGGATTATCATGGGAGTGCCAAAAAGACGGATGAGGCAATACTTCACACAGGAAAAGTTTTACAACTCGGGGTGGTGTAGTTTCGGTTAATTTTGTTTCCAGAATTTTGAAAATATTCATGATTCGGGTTTTTTTATTCGTTTAGAATTTCTACCTTGATATCAATGCCGGTGCAAATTTTTGTTGGATTTAGTATTAAAAACTGGTAGGGAAGATACAGTAATTATTATAAAATATCAATCATTTAATCAATTCGTCTTATAGAAATTCAATACAAAATAATAAAAATTATGTAAAAACCAGAACTTCAAATTAAATTCAAAACATAATCCCGATTAATGCTTCCCATCAGGTGAATTTCCATTTCCTTCTCAAACCCGGTAGTCTCATCTCTCACATCCGTCTCCCACTCGCCAAACAGGAATTTCTTTTCCTTCACCTTATCAGTATTCCATTTCTTCCCGAACGAAGAATTTCTTAACCCGTCTCACGACTTAATCTGAGGGAAGAATCCGTATAAATTAAAAAGATAGGAGGAAAACATCTTCAAAAAGTGCGTATCTTTTAGATTAGGCTTTTCCTCCTCCGGTCGAAAACCAGCTGCATTTTATGTATGGCCTCACTTAAAATTCTGTTTAGAAGGTGGGTTCACTTAAAAAGTTTGCATCCTACGACTGGACTGCGAAACCTTCATCCTCGCACTTTTCCACGTGTACGCATAATACGCACTGACAATGGGGACGCAAAGCATGTTCAGCCCAGATTATTTTTTGACCAGGTTAGTTTGAAGGACCAACTTTTTAGAAACAATATTTATTTAGTACGACACTTTCGCATTTGGTAAAAAAAATATTTTCTGGTTCCGAACATCAAATCTGTTTTGTCCTTTGGTTTCTTTAAAACTGTTAAAATTTTCATAATCGACGTTAAACTTACATATTTTTCATGCGATTCTTACTCCCATGTTTCGCAAGAGTTTGCCAATTTGTAGTAGTTTTTTTTTAAATTACGCAATTCAATACACTGCCATTATATTTAATTAGATTGTTAATTGTAACATTCTTGCACAAACATTATGCAATTAATTGTGCTTTCTTACATACATTTATTGAAAATCGAAATCAACTCTCTCTATTTTTGGAGTTTGTCCATTGTTCTTAAATTCTGTCTGTCGTTATTTTATTAATTTATGACATATTTTCCTGAGGTGTTCAAAAAATATGGGTTGAACACGGTTTGCACCCCCCATCGCGAGTTGATCTTCACCTTCAGAGAGAGAAAAGCAGAGAGTGATGTTTATGTAGGTGCATCTTCTCCACGAAACACAACTTTCTTCATTCCAGCTAGAAAAAATCGATCCTTCCACACGCACAGAAAGTGCCGGAACCGGAAACATTTAAAGGGCAGGACGCAGATCTAGTCTGGTCTGGCGTTGCCTAAGATTTAAAACATTTTAGAAAGTTTTCCCCCTGGAAAAGATAGATAAGCTTTTTCCTCGTAAAAAAAGTTTTAAAGTTTTACGCACAAATTTGTCAAGATGCCAAACTTTGCTATTTTTACAGTAAAGTGACGTGGTGGAGAAAGTAATGAAATTATTGGTGGGGATGGAATGAAATTCGGGGAAATTGGGGTTAATTTTAAT